TGGGGGGCACAGGCCTGGGAGCCAACTTTGTTGCTGATAGGGCTGGCCTGGCAGAAGGAGCCTGGGGGGTGCAGGGTGCTGTCAGCCCTGAGACCTGCAGAAACCAAGGCCAGGGAGGAGAAGGTGGGTCTGGGCTGAGCGAGTCACCAGCCAGCGCCGCGGCCGGTGCCTTCACCTCTCCAACAGCCGCTGTAGGAAGGGGGCGGCCGGGGAGCCTTGAAGCCCACTTTTCTGTGGGCAGAACCAACAGGGAGGAGTTGGGGCAGTCTGGAAGCCTGTGGAGGAGCAGCAGAGAACTCAAGCGGGCCCAGGCACAGGGGGCCGGGGCCGTCCGAGGGTGGCCAGCCAGCTGGGGCTTTGGCCCAGACCAGTGTGAGGCCTGAGAGGGCCAGCAGGCTGGCTTTCCCAATAGAATTTAGGTTCCTCGTCGCCTCTGGAGGCCGAGCACAGCCCCTGGGAGGGAAGGGTCAGCCTGGCCCTGGGGTCCAGACACCCAGTGCCTCACAGCACCCGGGGAGCCCACTCAGAACCCGTGTCCGCTCAGTCACAGCTGAAATGAGGGCGCCAAAGGTGGTCAGCCCTGCCGGGGCTCCGATGCGACCCTCGTGGCCTCTGGCCTTGGCTCTCTGTGCCGAGCGGGGGCATGAGCCAGGCTTTCTGGACCGCTGGGGTCAAGAGCCCTCTCCAGCCTGCCGCAGTGTCCTGATGCGGGGGCTTGTGTGATTTCTGAGCACCTCCCGTGTGCCACCAAGCCTTTGACAATCCAGCCGCCACCCCCCCGCCCCCACAGTTTCTGAAGTTCTTTCTCCCCATCCTCATCCACAGTAGGGAGGTAGGGAAACTGAGGCCCAGGGGTGGCCCACTGAGCAGTGACTAGTGACCTGATGGCCAAAGAAATGAACCGTGTCTTCTCAACTCCCCAGGGGTGGCAGGAGTGGGGGGGGGGCGGTGGGAGCAGAGAAGGACCTGGGCAGTCTCAGATTTTTAAACCCACATGCGTGTCCTTAAATTTTAACTAAAGAGGGACAGGAGAAGAGGAGGGATGGGTTGGAGACGATCCGAGGCTCCAAGGCTGTTGGTGTGGGTGAGGGGACCAGGGAGGGA